GCTGATACGCCGAATCGTTGGAGTTCGATTCTCCCTGTCGTTGAGTTTGCGTTGAATAACGCCGTGCATGCCTCCTTTGGCTACACACCGTTTTATGTAAATGGTCTCACACACCCTCGCTTTCCGTTAACGCTACTACTGCGTGGTTCAGGGCTTGGCGGGGGAGGAGTTTCCGATCGGCTTGCTGATATCAGCACTGATACTGTTCAAAAACAAGTAAGAGAGTTCCTCGCAACGCGATTGAATGGCTTACGACATGTGCGTGACGCTCTGGCTGACAGCCAAGGCAAACAGAAGGAACAAGCAGATGCCAAAGGCAGAGGTTGTATTGAACGTTATGAGGTCGGAGACCAAGTTCTACTCAATGCTAAAAACCTACCTACAAATGTAGTCTCCGCTGTCTTCAAGACAAAGTTGCGTCCGCGCTTCATTGGACCATTCACGGTCGTCGCCAAGAAGAAACTTGCGTGTACGCTCAACCTTCCGCGCAAATTGCGCACACACCCCTTGTTCTACGTTGGCTTGCTTAAGCCGTATCGGGATCCGTCCCACGTGAACTTGGAGGCGCTTGCGCCGCGACATGTGGCATTGCTATCGGCTGCTGAAGCCGAATCAGGATGTCTAGCTGAGCGTCCATCCGGGTTTGAACCAACTCCACCGCCTGAAGGCGAGCTTTCGTCGCGTCGAGCACACTCTGGGTCTTACCCAAGGTCTCTCGGAGACAGCCCACTTTGCGACGTAGCTTCTCAAGCTCGTCCTTCGGTATACCGACCTTCTTTGACGCTGCTCGATGATCAAGGAAACCGCCAGTTCCATGTGGAGAGACTCCTGAAACGTTGTCGTCGTCAAGGTCAATACCAGTATTTGGTGAAGTGGCGGGGTATCTGGATTCGGAAAACTCATGGGAGTTTGAGATACCCCTGCGGCAGGATTGCCCATACGCCTTGGATGTTTTTGAAGATCGTGGCAAGGGTCTTCCTGTGATCAAAGACGCTTCTCACCAATAGTGGTGGAAGCAGGTGGGTAGTTGGTCATGGATCGACCAACACCTACATCGGCCGGCATCGCCAAAGCATAGCGTGTGCGATATCGCAACTGGTCTCTGGTCTTTAGCTTGGCGTAGTCATACCAAAGCTTTCGTTCTAGACGAACGTCTGCCACATCGGCACTTGCCCTCAGAGCTGACATGCTCTAAGATGTCGTTTCCGATGCAATCAGCGAACAAAACCGGTTGTCTTCTCTCTCCTGAGATATGCCTGCACATAGGAGGATGGGTATACCCATTATCGGTGGAACCGGTGCACCCCATGCTTGCATGTCAAGTCGCAACATGTAGCGACTATAAGTCGTCAAGTGAGGTTCCAGGTATTTCTTGCGAAGTGCCTGTTAGCTCGAAACCTCATCATGAGATGTGGGCTCAGCGCCTATGGACCACGTTACCAACGAACGGCCTGTCTTTTGGCGTATAAGTTTTTTTACACTAAGTGGAGTGAGCACATAGCCACGGCTACTCTCAAGGATTTAATCAAGCTGCGTATGGCGCCGAGCGCTTTCCTCTCGTTGGATATCCAACTGTTGTTGCTCATGGAGCGGATTGGTGATGGTGGCATCGCCCACGTAGAGTGTTTGATGCTGCGCCAAGCGCGCGTTGGCATCGCCACGCTCGGCAAATGGGCTTGGTGCAGTATGAGGTGGTGCATCTTGCACTGGTGAGTCGGACATTGTCCTCTCTTTACAATAAACGTCGGTATCGCTACCATAGTACACCTCCACATCGATGCCGAGGTAGGAGGAGACAGTCGAGGCCTCATTGTTTGGCGATTCCATGTTGTTTCGTATTTTCAAACCGTGAAGGCTGAAGCGCACACACACCGTCCTCTTCGAGGATAGAATTCGATTGACGTTTTGTGGTAACGTCAGTCTGGTGGGGGAGGGTGTAACGGGGTTACACGTCGACTGGTAGTCGACAATAGGTGTGGTGCATACAAGGGATGGGATCCCCTTTTTAAGTGAATGAGAGCACAGTATCAATTGTTGAAGACTTATGTCTGTCAACCAATGCTTTCGAGTTCTTTTGAGAGAATTATTTAGGACATTAGAGAGTAGGTTGATTACTTTGTTCTAAGGTGTTATTTTAGGCTATAAGAAATAAATTTCAGTTCGTATTTTGATTCGAAAGACACGTGCTTCTATGAGGCGTCTTGTGATCGTTCGAGGAGGCAGCAACGCTTTGTTAAGGCAGCTATTCCTCGTGCAATCTGTGCGTTGATTCTGTGAATCGTTTGGTCCCCTTGGAACAGGGACCGTAAGCTCTCTGAGCTTGTTGACTCTTTGAGTCGGTTTCTTTAAACCAAAGTTGCTTGTAGAGCGTTAAGTCTTTCTTTGACTTAAAGAACTGTGTAGCTCCGCTACATTCTATGTATATGAGTCACGCAGAATTCTCATCGAGGATGGGGCTTTTTCTTTTCGAAGATCAAGAGGTTGGCAAGAACCGACCAAAGATCGACCTCAATTGCTTGTCCAGGGTCGCGAGGTCTCTCACATCCCTCCCAGTGCGATTGGGCGTAGACACACGTAATGGACTGGTGCAAGATCGCTGGACAGCAAGGTGGTCAGAATAGCAATCGCACAAGTAACGGCATATTGGACAAGGCAATTTATAGACAGAGCAGGTTAATAAGAATCAAGTACACCCCGAGAACAAATTGCGATCGTGTAATGATTATCGACCAATCGCTTACCATCCTTCCAGCACAGATCAAGATTGACGTCATTTTTTCACGGCTTAAAAAAGATCAATCTGCCCTACTGAATCGTACATGTTGAAAGGACGCAATTGGCGAGATGAAAAGACGTGACTGATGATGTGGAAGAATGAATATCTAAAACAAGTGAATTATATCATGTGTTTACAGATGCGATCGATGGTAAAGGACGATTCAGGTCACTAAAGATCATCGGCTCAAGGTTAATTTAGGACTTTATTCATTTAAAACTGAAAAGGTGTAAGCAAATGAGTAAATATAAGCCCAAGCCTCCGAAAGATCTTCCTGCAGATTAGTTAGTAGGTCTCAACCCACACGAGGTCGATATATTGATAAGGTACAGCGCGGATATGTATCAAGCGATAGAACGAGAAAATTCCGGATCTTGACGTAGATCGTCTAGATAGACTTGACGGCCTTATTGGGAATCAGATGCGCGATTTTGCACAAGAATGCATGAATTTAGCCCAGGTGCCTCTTGGGCATTCGGAACAGCCTTATGTGATTGACATTATGGTCTTTGATAATTCTTGGATTTGAAGGAAATAAATTCATACCCATCACTTCACCAAGCAATACGTATACAAGTGCCTTTTAGAATTTGGCTGCCTCAAGAGCAGCATCAAAATCTATGCATCTGACATTCTGGTTCACGACGCACGACTGATCATAGCCGATACATGACTTATACCCGCTACAAGACTTTGGGGTCAAGATGCCGACAGTCAGAGATAGAGAGCTACTTATCAGCGATTCACAACAAAAGAAGAATACAAATGACTTGAAGCAGAGGTAACGGACTAAGAATTGCAGTTTTGACGAGCTTAATTCGACCCAACGCCTTAGTGAAGGGAAATGTCGTGGAGAAAACAAGATGAAGCATTTAATAGGTATGATGTAGCTGCAAGAAAGCATTTCGACATGATGAAAGAAGTCTACAGTGATAAGGCTGAAAGGTCAGCTTTGATTAAATACGATGATAGAGGTACACGACAGAGAATTCACCGTAGAGCACGCCGCATTTTCTGCTTCGGACTCGTTTGCCGAAGACCGGTACTGGATGAAGAAGTACCTTGTCGTCAAGCAAGTTCGGTGAGATGATCAGATCGATTTGTGCTTCATCATATATGTGAAAAGGCAACGTCGAAGGTAAAATGATCCATGCAAACGCTAGTCTATCGTCGCCGCACTAATTATCTCAAGCTATATTGGGATATAGCAAACTTTGCCGTTACGCAAAAAAAACGATGCAGCGCACACGTAATTGTTGGAGGTCGATGATTCACTTATAGAAGAATTGATGCCTACAATATAGTTTTTGCATCAGATGTATTGATTGCTGAAGCTTGCCGGTGATGTTCGAGTAGACAAGTGTTTTCTATGTGGTATGTTGTAGACCTTTGTACCGTGCGACAATGTGCCTTCTCTCACTCAGAAAATTTGTAAAAAAACCACTCACAATCTTCTCTCATGATCTGTAGATCTTCACAAGCGTTCTCTCTACCTCCTTGCTGCACCGATCCCAGTGGCCGAGTAGTAGATCACTGGAACTGGGGCCGGCGAGGTACCTGGATCGATACCCGGCGAAGGATCGATTATAGGGCGCCGAAGCTAGGATCGCATGGGACGAGCAACCATCCAATGGTTGGCTGCTTAACCGGACCGCATATCAGGGTGTGCGATGCCGGGCGCCAGAGGCCCCCTAATCCGAACAGCCCCATTGTGTAATGAGGGGTGCAAGTCCTGTAAAGAGTTCGAACTGAGTCACAGTACTCGCGGACCACCCCAGGGTGATCTAAAGGACCGCGCGGCATAAATTTCTACATCCTCGCTGCAAGTGATAGACCACTGGAATGATAAACCGATGTGTACGTTGATCGATATCCTGGCGGGGGGGGGCTCGATTACACGGCGCCGAGAACACGATAACATGGGACGAGCAACAATCCAGCAGGTGGCTGCGTAACCGGGCCGCATCTCAGGGTGTGCGATGCCGGGCGCCGGAGGCCCCCTAATCCGAACAGCCCCATAGTGCAATGAGGGGTGCGGGTCCTGTAAAAAGTTTAAACTGATTCACAGTACTCGCGGACCACCCCAGGGTGATCATTAGGACCGCGCGGCATAAATTTCTACATCCTCGCTGCTTTTGCTTTCACTGATAGGTGACGTGTCGTTGACGCATCGACTTCCAAAAGTACTCCTGCAGAACCTCATCAACTTCAATATCATCATCTCTTAGATCTCCGCGCCTCTCGAGGCTGGCATACTCTTGGACAGCAAATTTGCGATCATTTCACTGGTAGCGACGTAATTGGGCTTCACAATGAACCTGGGGATCGTGTCACGCAAGAACTTCACGTACACTTGCTCGTGTGAGCTGTACTTAGCTTCATTCTCGGTCTGCTTCATCGCCTCTTGACTCGCATCCGTCATCCATATTGGCAACGACATGTTAACGCTCATATCTTCCAGTAGTGTCTTTACATCCAAATGATTTTTGAGATCCATGGTGGCAGTACTGGACTCATTGGTGGCCTTAAATGGTGCCACCAACGGTTGTTGTTTCACTTTCTATCCAATTGGTATCGTGTCATCGAGCGTCACCGCGCTGCTTGCGGAATTTTAAGTCGTCTCGTCGGCTGCTTAGTCGGCGTAGATGAAGCTGGTAAGTTGCACGTCGCTTGCACTCGACGCTTTGTACATATGAGACCACAGCTCTGCTTATTCCGTCAGGCACATCAGTGTGAGTCGTGATAGCTTCGTGTCGTAGTCGCTCGGCGCGTGTCTGCGTCGCGTCACGCGGTGCACTGCGAACTGTATGACCAATTGACTGCATAGTGCAATCCAGAGGTGGATTTCTACAAGGCTCAAAAGATCTTAATCGTTGGTCGTTCTGCTGTCCCTGCACCGTAAGTTGGCGGTTCCTGCGCGTCCGCGCTTTCTGACTCGATAAACGTTCTGTCACCTACCATTGAGCGCACTTCGTTCGCTAGATAGAGCCGGTTCTTGTGCATCCGATCAGTAATCATCTCTTCTTAGTCAATCATGTAGCCATTCAGATCTTTGTAGCCGAAGCGCATGCCCAGGAATATCTCGAAGATCCCGAGACACTTAAAGTCCGATCTTTGTATTGCCGCCGAAGGAGTCGACTAGCGCGTCTCTCGTTGAGTAATGAGTAAGTAGTATACACACACTCCCACTACTTTCGTGCCTTTGCTTCTTATCTATACGTAGACGCACGCACCTGTGGACGATTGTGCAAATTCTGCGTCGATCAGCGACTAATGAAGTAGTTGAATGCGGAGGCGTCCGGCCTATTTCCGTCCTTTAAAGTCTCTTATTTAGACTCAATCATTTCTCGCCGGCTCCCGTCACATTGATCTTTTGCAGTTGATCGTCGCTGATATTAATTTTCTTGAGCAAGAGCATAATCGATACTGATCCCATTCTCGTTAATTGCCTTTAAGTACGCGCTTGTGGCTTCGAAAGACCTTGCTTGCACGTCCAAATAGTCAGGCGACAGCGAGAGCAATCTTGCCACATTCCATGAATAAGGCGGACGCAAATATCAGGTCGTAGTCTCTTCCAAAACATTCTGATCGGACAAGTTTGTGTGCTGCACCTCCCCATACTTAGTTCGTACATCACCACCGGTTGTAATAGAGATGTTACGACGATTGGCGCACCCGACCTGACTCGCGCTAACTTTTTTGGCGGCATTGTGGAGAAGTGCAGAAGAATAATGATGGAAAGTGTGGATCGCGCCTACCGCATTAATTGCGAGATCGATTTGATTGGTGGAGTGCGCTCGGAGATAGGCCCGTTGGCACGAATGATGGGATCACGCGACTGAATGACAGAAAACGACTGTGAAAGTTACGCGGATTAATCTACCTAACGGTCAAGAAAGAGTATAGTAAAGGATCAAGGACTGACCGATCACGATCCGCGATCAAGGGCTTGGATCACCAAGTTACAAGGACCGGATCGCTCAAGGGGTGAACATAAACTGACATACTGGATCGCTAACGACAATGGAAAATAAGTGAATATGGAAGCAAGCTGGAAGAGTGGATAGTCAAGATCATCAAACATGCGAGGTCTCAAAAGTAACGGCGGTCCGACGGTGGATACCCGATCAGAGACTCGATATTGATCACGATCCACCCTGGGTGTGTAATGCGTGATTGGGTAGACACATAATTGTGTGTACACATAATTGATGTGGATCCCGTAATTGGTGTGGATGACATACCGCGATCCACTACCCAAACGACCCACCCCGAGCGATCCACCACCTAGCTACCCATTATGGAGCGATCCTTTATGGAGTTGAATACCACCTAGCGATTCACTATGGAGCGATCCGCTACCTAGCGATCCGCTACGGAGCGATTTTCTACCCGAGTATCTTCTGTGACCCACATGATGCACGAGGATAATTACACAGACAGGCAATACGCAACAGTGATCGAGCGAATAGATAGGCATAGTCGTAGGTTTTGGATTCGGTTGGTTGAAATTAGACAGAATAGATATTGCAACGGAAGACACGCGTAGACTTCCCCCGGGCAGGTAATTTGACATACAGATGAATAGAGAGCGTCCTGTGTCGATATAAACTTCTTCTTTGGATTATTGGCGATGCGGAACATCAGTTCTCACCCCCCAACTGCGATTGGACGCAGGGAACCTAACGGTTCGGATTCAAGATCACGAGACGGCTCAAGTGGTCAGAAGGCTCGCGGATCAAGTATCGCCTTTGGATACAGACGACTCTGGTAGAGCGCCCAAGTGTACTTGCGATCGAGTGAATAAATTCCACGCGATTCACCACAAGTTTGACCGGGTGAAGAATTTCCACCCGATCAACCCCTATCCCAAAAACGGTCAAGTTCAGCTTCAACTCAAGTCCACCAAGTAGAGCGCAACCCGCCCCACCGACGGGTAAAAAAGATGAGCAAGAAGACACAGAGCACGGAATCGGGGTACCCCCTCCGTTAGTCGGTCGTCCAGGCGCCAGTGGAGGATCGGGATCACAAGGAATTTGTGATCACCCCTCCACCACAGCGTCATATATATTCTACTGCTTCGACTTCGCGTGTCTCGGTTCGACGATTGCGGATGTCGTTCTATTTATTCCCCATTATATTCTTCATCACTCGATACTTCTTTCCTTTGTCAGCGTTCTGCGACGCTTCCGCTTTTTGCTTTCGATTGAACATATAGCTTCTCATTGTGTCTTTTCCTTTCGTTTCGGACAAGCCCGTTGTAATTGGAATCGACGTGGACTTGGCGGCAGATTTTTCTTCTGAGCTCTCGCCGCTTGACTCATCACGTCTCCTACTTACTTCTAACTCATTCTCCATTATCTATAGCTCGTCACCGGCTTCTGACTTAAACGATTTGGCTCAGACGTCTTCTTGTCTTACCAGTGAGCGGTATTACTTGGGTTACATGTCGTGTAGCGACCACGACTTTTAAAAAGAGATTATCATCTTGCACCAATTCGTTTCTTCATTATTTTCGACAATGATACTCGGCGCCACGCGCTTGCCTATGGATGCGTTCGTAAGGATATAATAGACTTTACGAGGTGATCTGAACACTACAACGTCCATGACGTTATATCGGCTTCTTCGTCAAACGTTCCAGAGGCTATTAGTGTCTTGGTTCGGCGCAATTTGGTATCCAATGAAGCGGATGCGCTGCGGGACCCGCGGTGTATCCCTTGTAAACAAGGGGTAGTCCGCATCCAAATAGCATGCACCTTATCATTTCATGATGGTCCGTCGCATCGTTTAGGCTTCTTCATATGATGCTGACGATGTGCGTTATTCTAATTGACTATCAAATCATTCCTGCTGAAGTGACAGAAAATTTTGATGTTGCGGTAATCGTCTTCTCCGCCCCTTCGCAGAACGTGAACTTGAACGCCAAAAGGTTTTTCGGAAGAGCACTATAATATGCTGCAACGTTTTCGCTGCTTCGTTATATTACTTAGCGATAAACAAGGGAAATTTTAATTCCCACTCACGGATTATTTAAGCCGCTCCCATTTGCCGCACCAATCGCTCATTTGATCCTTTTAGGTGAAATTTTACCCTTTTGGGTTCGATGACAAACTGCGCAGCTGTGCTGTTGGTAGATCTGCACAGAACTGCAGAATTCTCAATATGATGGTCCTATATTATACAAAGCGAACTACTCTTAAAGATACTACGAATATTTTGTTCTATGAATATTCCTACTCCATACTGCGATGGCATGCTCGTCGGGGAAATGTGGTTCATCGAGAATCGTAGTATCTGTCATCATCTGCAGGCGACCAAATTCTAGCCCCGGGGGACGCGAACATCTGTCCATGTATTTCCGGGCTCAAAGAAGGGTGAAGGGCATGCAGGGGGAAGTCACTGAGATGATGCATTGAAGGCAAGGTCCTGTCTTGGGTTGGCGCAAGCTGGAGGTGCTGACCGTGCTGTTCATCAGGAAAAAGCGTATGGGGACAGGGAAGCAGCATTGAAGAATGCGGCTGATCATAATGCTGCACTGATGACTGGAATGGAGTGTACTGCGGAAGCGATGCATGCTACTGGCCGTACTGATGCAATACAAGTTGCGACTGATCATATTGCAGCTGAGGCTGCATCGCCGAATTGCGGAGTTGCTGAAATGGCGGCGGGTGAGATTGAGGGGGTCCAAAGTGCTGCGGCTGTTGAAACTGCTGGGACAAACTTTTTTGGTAAAAGTCTGATTGGGGCGGCACAAAATCAACATCTCAACTTGGGGTCGTCAGCACCGAACGTCGTGCAAACTCCGCAGCTTCTCTTGCGGCAGTTCTTTCGGGGTTTTTGTGGGACACGTTTTACTGTTATGTTTGACATACTTTCTGCAACCATGGCACATCTTAAGTCCGCGCTTCTTATCTGCCTGCTTGCCATTGATTTTACATCCAGTGGGTAAGTGGGCTTTAGCATTTTTCCCTTTGTACTGCTTTGGTTTTATCGTCGAGCTTGGGCGGTTGGAAATTGGTTTGAAGGATTTGTCCAGAAACCAAAAATGTGGATGTCGGCGGGTTCGACCGCAAATCCTCTTTACCATCCTATTCAATCATATCAAATAAAATGTGGGAACACGGTAAACCACGGCCTTTAAGATGCAAACCATCACAGATCGGCTTTTGGTACCGTCCAGCTCCCAATTCATCTTTCTTCTTTAACTAATTTTTCGCAATCTCCAGCTCCCTCTCGAGTATATTAAAGGCGTGAAGGGAAATCTTGCACACAAGATGGCTAAAGATGGAAGGAGGACGTAATTGTGCTGCTTGCAAATTATCCGAACGCGCTTTTCGGCACTTGTCGAGTTGTTTGCCGCAACTTTTTTGATCGACTTGTAGACCATGAACAGAGACTTTTGCGAGGAGCCCAACTCCTTTTTAAAAAGCTGCATGAGCCCGTTTCACTATAGAAGTCGTAGGTTGACCGAAGCGGAATACGTGGGTGAGCCAGGGAGCGCAGAATGTTGCCCTTATCATTATCAAACCAGATATTTTGCACATATTTGGCACATTCTTCTGCTATGCTTTTCTCATTTTGGACCATCTTTGGTCGCATTATTTCTCTATGAATGTTCGCTAGCATAAATTGGCAAAGCTTGCCACGAAGGTGTCCTACGTATCCAAATCCACTCCTGTCAATGCAGCA